CAAAATGTACAGGGGGGTACTGCTTAAGTCATAGCTGGTTTAACGAGCTCAGCAGATGTCCTATCAGACAAATATCAGAACAAAACCTCCTAGTGAGGAGAATGGGGGGATTGCACAAGGAGTACTGCTTAAATCATGGCTGGCTTGACAAGCTCAGCAGTTGCCTTATCAGGCAGTACTAAGATAAGGCTTCCTAGCAAAGAGAATAGCCCATTAAACCAGCTAGACATGGACCAGACCCATCCAGCTCCTAAAGAGCATGCGTGAGGACCAGAGGTAAAAAGTTCGAGCCTGAGGAAGACTGGTTTACTTCATCTTGAAGACCCCTACCCACAAGAGGAAGACTACTTACTTCATCTGAAGACCCCTGCCCAAGACCACCAGGAGGCACTGCGCATGCGTGGAGCGCCTTTTAGCTCATTATAATACGAAGCGCGGATAGAATATGAATATGAATATGTATAGGCGTATTGTGCGACCTAATACCTATGTATGACTTTGCAGGATAAATGTAAAAGGAAAATGGCACTGAGGCACGCATGCCTTTTTGAGGACCAATCCCCCGTGCGTCTTCAGCTGAATAAAGCATACCTACTTTACAGCTTTAACCAAGTTGAGGAGTCTATTCCGCTATCATCCTTCACCCTTATCTAAGTGCACTCTTATCTTAGTGCATGGACCAGTCCCTATAAAGCTGCTGAGTCCATCTGGTCCATGATGTCAGGCTCCATCTCTTGTAACAGTCTTCCAGAGCAGGAGAGGCTGTGTGCAGTGTTCACACTCTTGAATAACCTGGGCAGTAGTGTCCATTGCTAAGTCCACCCCTCGATCATGAGTCCATCTCTATGTTGCATCTCTGCTTGGATGGCCTTAAGGGTCATGGGCCCACCAGGCTCAAAATAATTCACTGTCCCCTCCAGCAGTTTCTGCAGCTTGTAGCTGGGGACACCGTACAGCTGCCTTCCATCTCCAATGCTTCCAAAGCACTGGAGTGGCCCAGTGGACTAGATACTTGCCCATACTGTCCCACATGCCCTGCCACTCATGATTGTCCAGCCTTGGAAAAAACCTCTTGGTCCTCCTATATTGTTGTCTAACCCCAGACAAGACTCAAACCTGACTCTGCTTAAATTTCGGGTTCAGACAAAATGGCAGTGGTAAAACACACTCTGTATGTGTGCCAACATGGTGAACACCATCACAATCAGCAGGCAGGTCCCAAAGATACCCAAACGCCATTCAAAACCTTCAGAACTCTCAAACGATGCTGCTGTACTTGTCACTGGGGCTGGTGTAGCTGCTGTGCTTGCTGGCTCTGCCACCACCAGCTTCTCTTTTTCTGAGTCCAGCTCTTCCTCCCCTGCCTTGCTGGGAAATGCTGCGGGGTCTCCGGCGTCCTCCTGGGGCTCAGCGGGCGGCTTCCGGGGTATGCTTTCGGCCGTCGCGGGGCTGGGCTCGGCCGCGGAGCTGGGCTCCTCTGCGGGGCTCGGCTCTTCCGCTGCCTTCTCCCGCTGCTTGGCAGCCGCCTCTTTCCGCTCCTCGACCGCCCCGACCTCCTCCACCGGCAGCCGCTCCCTGCCGGCCTCCAGCCCCGCTCCCACTTGGTCCCCGGGGCCGCTCTCCCGGGCTGCTTCAGCAGCCGCTGGCTCCCGGGGCCGCTCCCCCTCGGCTCCTCGCTGCCTCACACAGACGGAGGCGAGGGCAAGGGCCAGGACAGTGAAGAGCAGACGGACGGCCAGGTACCAGTCCACGGCCACATCCATCTCGCCCTGCTGCTGAAGCCCGCCCGTATTATAAGTCATTGCCATAAAGTACAGTGAGACAGGAACCTTAGCCCAAGCCCCACACTTGATAAACACTAACACAGCAAATACCGGCTCTAAGTAAGTTAGAACATTCTGAAGCTGTGAGATCAAGAGGAACAACTCTGAGAGCCAATAAATCTGCATTGTGACGAGTGACTATTAATCCGGTCAGATCTGTCGTTATCTCAACCCCTTCGTGCCCCACGTTGGACGCCAAAAAGAACTGTCGTGGTTTAACCCAACCAAACAGCTTGTTAACCCCCCCCCCCCCCCCCCCTTCTTGCCCTCCCCCTACTCTCGGAGGGATGGAAAGGAGAATCAGAAAGAATGCAACTCCCACGGGTTGAGATAAGAACAGTTTAGCAACTAAGGTATAACACAAATCACTACTGCTACCACCAATAATAGTAATGATAAAGGAAATAACAAGGGAACAGAATACAACACCTCAGCACCAGCCGACCGATAACTCGCCCCCCAGCCCGACCAAGCACCGACCGATACCTCCTCCAACCCTGCAGTCCCTCTCTAGCCCCTTCCAGGTCCCTCCCAGTTACATCCTGGGCATGACGTGCTGTGGTATGGAATACCTCTTTGGTCAGTTTGGGTCAGGTGTCCTGTCTCTGCTTCCTCCCTGCTTCCCCTCCTCCCTGGCAGAGCATGAGGCCCACAAAGTCCTTGGCCAAACCAAAACATCATTGTTTCTCAGCTCTGTTCCCAGCCCGAAACTCAAAACACAGCACTGCACCAGCTACCAAGAAAGAGAAAAAAGACTGCTACTGCTGAACCCAGGACAGGGGGAAAACTAAAAGAGAGCGAATACTGCACATCTGCAGCAGTAATGCACCAAAGAGAAGCTTGTACCTTGGAAGTAACGGCTCCTGAGACACCATCTCCTCACCTACATCCATACAATTGCAGAAGAGTTTGGGTTGGAAGAGACTTTAAAGCTCATCCAGCTCCAACCCCCTGCCACAGGCAAGGACATCTTCCACTAGAGCAGGTTGCTTCAAGCCCCATCCAGCCTGGCCTTGAACACTGCCAGGGTTGGGGCAGCCACAGCTTTCTCCGGGCACCCTGTGCCAGTGCCTCACCGCACTCAGAGGGAAGAACTTCTGCCTAATATCTAATCTAAATCTACCCTCTTTCAGCTTAAAGCCATTCCCCTTGTCCTGTCACTACATGCTGTTGTAAACCTCATGTAAACTCAATGACTCAAAAAGAGCCATGTAACTATTAGAGGGGAAACCTTGGCCTCATCTTTCGGTGTTGAGAATTCCAGTCCCCTCCTCGTCACACACCTCGCTGGCAGTGTTAGTCACTCCACACAAAGAGCCAACAGTCCCTGTGCTCTGCAGATTTCGTCCTGGAGGCTAAGACTTTCTGTGTGACACCACAACAGCAGTTGCTCTGCCTGGGCTGCAAAAGCAAGTCAGTGCTGTTGCCTCCCACAGTACATAAAAAGGACCTGTTCATGTAAAGCAGGACTTTCAGCACCTTCAGAAAGGGTGTTTTGTTTTCTTTTCAAATAAATGGAAGAGCTGACAAAGTTCAGGAAATTTAGAATTCGGGAACATACTGTGCAATATTTACTACTGCTCCTCAGCCAAGCATCTCCGCAGCCTGTTGACAAAAGTCTAGCCAGAGGTGTATGGTTAGGCTTGTCTACAACCAAGGATTCATAGCAAAGCATTTTGTGGGGGCATGGGAGAGGGAAGGATGGCAGGAGGCAGGGAGAGAGAGAGTCAAAACCCTATTTTCATCTAGCTGAAAGCTGGGTATAACAGCAGGGAGAGTTCATTGGCATTAGGAACTCCACTGACCTGTTTAGTGAAGAGATTTGGTCTTGGGATAGTTACATTTACACAAGAAGAACAACAGCTTTTACCCCAATTAGTCCTTTGCACAGACGTGAAACTGAACTGAACTCTTAAAAGAACACCAGCTTTGACCCTCTGCCACCATGCTCAAAAACCTAGGCGATGAGGATAGGAAACTGCTTATAGCCTTATCCAGAGGGAAACAGCTGAAGCGCGTCAGAAGTCACTGGCACCACGGTGCATGATTTTGGGGGGTGAGCCGTGAGGGCCAGGCTAGCTGGGTGGGTGGGTGCAGGAGGTCTGCCTGCAGGAAGTGCTGCTGACCTCTAGGGGAAGGACAATGCTCTGGGCCCAGTCCCTGATGCTGCCCCTTGAGAAAGGAGCCTGGAATCTCCCAGTCCAGAGATGAAGGGCCACCTTTATTGTGCCGGGAGAGGAGGATCACAGTGGTCGCTCAGAGGTGAAACACGGCTGGTCCCACTGAGGTGTCCAGGCCGTGCGTTGGGAGTTTGGGTCCGATGTTGCAAGTGGGAGTTGTCTCGCACCCGCGCGGGCCTAGCGGGGATGGAGCTGCTGCCGCTTTCCAGTGCTGCGGAGTCAGAGGACGCTGCCGATGGCCGATGCCTGCTGGTTCTGGGGCTCCTAGTCTCAGGTACTGGCGAGCACTGGGACAGTCCCTCACTGCCTGCCTGTGGGTGCTCCTTTCACCACGTGGCGCTGGCCGTTGGCTTCTCTCCTGCTGTCTTCTGGGCCGCGTGTAGGCAGTTTGGGTGTGACAGTTCAACTGGGAGCACCACGGGGAGGTGTGGCATGGCCTGACTGTTGCAGTGCCAGTGTCTGGTGCCAGGGAACTGTGGCATGGCTATGAAGCCTCCTGGCTGTCAGTGCTGGAGCTGCTGCTCCCTGATGACTGCCGACTGTCACTGCTGCAGCAGCTGCTAGCACGTGCTGCGGAGCACTGGGATAGCCCCGACACAGTGTGTGCTCCTCTTTGCACGTGGTGCTGGTGTGTGGCTGCTCTAACGGCGTCTTTTGCGCCGCGTATTGGGAGTTTGGGCCCGGCGTTGCGAGCGGGAGCGGTCTCGCACCCGCACAGGCCCGGTGGATCTTGAAGCGCTGCCTCTTTGTCGTGCTCTGGAGCCACGGGATGATGCTGATGGCCGCTGTCTTGTGATGCTGCGGCTGCGGCTCGCACGTGCTGGTGAGCCCTGGGACAGCCTGGGCGCAGCCTGTCTGCGGGGGCTCCTCCCAGCTCGTGCTCCTGGTGTGCGGCTGCCCTGGGAGCGTCTTCTGGGCCGTGCATAGGGAGCTTGGGCCCGACGCTGCACACGGGAGCTGTCTCGCACCCGCACGGGCCCACCGGGCCTGTTGCTCCTGCTTCTTTTCAGTCGTGCAGAGCCACGGGATGCCGCTGATGGCTGCTGCCTGGTGGTGCTGCACCCGCGGGTCTCACGTGATGAGGACAGCCTTGGCACCGCCTGACTGCGGGTATTGCTCACAGTGCGTGTTGCTGGCGGTCGGCTTCTCTCCTGCAGTCTTCTAAGCCACGTGTAGGGTGTCTGGGTCTGACGGGTGTACCGAGTTTGGTGTTGCCGTCGGTCAGGCCCAGGGCGGCTGGAGCGGCTGCTGCCCTCACACACTGGGCAACTGTGGCATGGTGCTGATGGCATCTGTCTGCTGCTGCTGGGGCTGCTGGTCTCCTGTGCTTGAGGTTCCAGACTCTGCCCCGATGCTGCCTGGCTCCTGGGGCTGAGGCTGCTGGTCTCCTGTGCCTGAGGTTCTGGAGTCTGCTCTGATGCTGCCTGGCTGCTGGGGCTGAGGCTGCTGGTCTCCTGTGCCTCAGGTTCTGGAGTCTGCTCTGATGCTGCCTGGCTGCTGGGGCTGAGGCTGCTGGTCTCCTGTGCCTGAGGTTCTAGAGTCTGCTCTGATGCTCCCTGGCTGCTGGGGCTGGGGCTTCTGGTCTCTTGTGCCTGAGGTTCCAGTCTCTGCTCTGATGCTGCCTGGCTGCTGGGGCTGGGGCTGCTGGTCTCCTGTGCCTGAGGTTCCAGAGTCTGCCCCGATGCTGCCTGGCTGCCGGGGCTGCTGAACTCCAGATCCAGAGATCCAGGAGAGTGCCCTGATGCTGCTGGGCTGGCAGTTCTGGGACCAGCAAGCTCTAACCTGGCACTGGAGTCTACAAGGGAAAGCAGGAACATTAAGGGCTTGGCTCCCAGGCCTGGGGCAGGGTAGGCCAGAGCTGTGCCCCAGCCCTCCTGGAGCAGATAGGCTCTGCCAGGCCCACACCAGGCACCCACTGCCAGGCCTTGCCTGGCCCCTGGCCCCAGTCCAGGAGCACCCGGCTGCTTTGACACTTACAGGTGCCCTGGCCAGCACAGCTGTCACACTCCCATGTGGCCTCATGGCTGCTCCCCAGGTTGGAGCAGCATCTGTGAGTGCCCACAGCAGCGCAGGAGCAGCACAGGAAGAGCTGCCAGGGCCTGGGGAAAGAAATGGGTTCAGATCTCTAAGGATGAAGTGCCCACAGCAGGGGATTGTCCAGCAGAGCTCTTGTTCTCAGCCCTTCTGCTTCGAGCCCTTGCTGAGACAGAGATCCCATGCCGAGCCCCGGGGTGCATCTTTGGCAACTTACCCATCTGGCTCTGCTTCCTCCCTTCCTCCTGGACAAAGGCACTCCCTGGCATCGCAGCTCTGGTGCCTCTGGTACAGTTCTGCATATGCGTTGTTGTCTTCCCATGCCGCTCCTCTGATGGAGAAAGGAAAACTGATGAGCCCCTGCTGCCTCAGCATAAGGCATATGCAGGCCTCCCCACTCTTCCCCCCACACCCTGTTTCCAACTCCTGCATGGCGCTAAAGCCTAGACTTGGGGGTCAGCAGAGGGCCACAACTGAGGCGGCAGGTCTAGGCGTGGCACAGTGCTGGCCAGGAGGACACCAACCTTGCGGGGATTTGGATCCCCATGAAGAGCATTTCTGCTTGAAACAGCCTCATATTTCGACACAGAGGGCACTTCAAGGAAAAGGCACCAGCACGAATAGCCTGTCTCTGCAGGAGAAACAGAAAGAGCGTGAGTGAAGCTCTGGTGCTGCTGAGAGCCTGCCGTGCCCGGAGCAAGGGAATGACTCCTACCTGGATGCACGCTCTGTGGAACCAAGCACGTTTACATGCTGGGCACACCATGGTCCCGTAGGTCGTTCTGCCTTCAACAGGGTCCATGCAGATGCGGCAGTTGGTGTTCTCTGGAGCCACCAGCTCTTTCTGTTGTGGGCAGTGCTCCCAGCAGAAGGAACTAGGGGAAGAAGGAAGGGATGGGTGAGATGAGAAGTGCTGGGTCCTTCCCTGCTGATAGGGAGAAGGGTAGAGGGGGTACCTGTATGGCAGGACGTAATGGGTGACGCATCCACCCTCCACAGCACAGGGGAGATGGAACCTGCGGTCGCAGCTCACCTCCTGGCAGGTGACGGAGGCCCCGCCCTCGCCACACACAAAGCAGACCTGGAAAGAGCAGAGCAGCCCCCATCAGTGGCAGCCTCAGGGTCTCCACAGCCAGACCCACACTTCGGGGCAGGGCTCAGTATGGATCACAGGCCACAGATCCACCTGGCAGAGCAGGCTCCTGTGCTGGAGCCTCTGTGGAGCTGCTGGGAGCAAGACTTCTGTCCCAGAGCTGGGTGGAAAGGCTGGGATTCTGTTCTTGGCATCTGCCCTAAACTCCCGCAAACCTCTCCTGGCACGAATCGCCCTGATCGTCTCAGATCCTCACCATCTGGGCTGTCTGAGCGACTGTATGTAGAACATCTGCAAGAAGAAATTCCATCTCTCCTTCCTCTTGGGTCCCTTCTGGACAAATGTCACTGGCAAAAAGCTTCAGAAGAGCAGAGACAAGGAGCAGATGAGGGGCACGTGGCAGGGCAGGTGTATAGCAAAGATAAAACCAGCCCCAGAGGAACTCACCAGGCAAAAGTCATGGACACAGAACCAACCATAATTCAATTTTGGCCCGCAGATGTCCGGGTCTGCCTCTGCACGGCCACACAGCACGCATACTGGAGGGGAGAGAGCAAATGCCACTGAGAATGAGCGCCTCCGTGGGGCCAGGGATGCATCCCTGAGGGATTGTCCCCAAGGGTTGCTCTGTCCCTGCCTAGCCGGCTGCTGAGAAGGGCTGGAAGCCTTGGACAGGAAAGGGCACTGCAGGCATGGGTGTCCCGGAGGGTGCGCACTGCCCGGCCCAGCCCTAGTCCCGCTTGCCAAGCAGAGGAGCGGCCCTCCCGCAGGGTGGCTTTGGAGCTCCTGCCTCTCCCTGCCAACGCTCCCGGTCCACGCCGACAGCCTCAGGAGTCCCTCTGCCAGGCTGTAGGACGGGGACTTTGCTCTCACCCTGCCCCATCGAGTCGGGTGTCCTGCAGCTCCTTGTGGAGGTGTCAGACATCAAAGGTGGGTGTTTGGAGAGTCCCTGTCCCAGCAGCGCTGGGGCTTCTTCTCCAAATGCTCCTCTGCTACCTCTGAGGGACAAGAGACGCGGGTGAGCTTGCAGCACAGGCCCAGAGCCCTGCAGTGTGGAGGCCCCTCCTTCTTCGGCAGGCCTCCGAGAGCCCTGTCCCTGCCCTTTACTCCCTGCACCTCACCAGGTCGCACTGATGCACTGTGCCCGGCGTTCCCTTTTTCATAGGCCTGCCCCCGCCACCAGTCACAGTGGCCTCTGTGACATCAGCACCGCTGGCCCGCGTACGCCCCAAGTATGGGCAGGGGCACCCTCGGCCACACACCACCCACTGTGACACGGACACTGCATCACAGGGCTGGCTCTGAAGCACGCAGGCAGGGACCCCAGCCTTTGGCACCCAGGTCAGCGGGGCCCCTGCTCCACCTGCAAGTGCAGAGTCAAAGGCCAGCTTAGGGACGTGGTTTCCTGGTGAACTTGGCAGTGTTTGCTTAACGATTGGACCTGGAAGACCTTTACGGCCTTCTCCAACCTAAATGCTTCCTGTGACTCTCCTTACCATTCCACTATTACTTGATCACCGTTTGCTTACGCTATGATTTTCCTTCAATAGTCGATTCCTTACCATTTGATCATCGCTTCATCATGAAGAAAGCCCTTTTAATTAATCCACCAAAGATGACTTCCCTGAATAATTCACCTGTGACACCAGGACAAACACCACACCGTGTCTGGAGCACAACCTGAGTAGAAGGAAAGGAATGATGAAATAGTTTGGGTTGGATGGACCTTCAAAGGTCCACTTAGTGGCCGGTGTATTGTTTATCCATAAAAATAGAGAAGCCGCTGTTGGTTGTGGCAGTCATCAGGACTCCGTTAAACTCATGCAGTGAGCGCAGCTAAAAGAGGTAGCTAGCAGATGAGCAGTTTCTCTGCTTTCCTTTGAGATCTCCTGGGAACTTCTAGGGCTGCTGGAGAACTGGGAACTCTGCAAGGGTTTTCAGGGTGCTGGCTGCATCTGAGAAGGGATAACTACAGGAGGCCTGTGTGCCAAGTAAAATTAGGATACCTTGCAATCCTCGGATTACAAGTATAACCCAGATATCAAATCTGAAATTAATTTGGACCTGCCTGGCAGTTTTTACTGTTAAATTTTTAATAGAGATTACCATGTCCCTTACTCTTGTTGGGTTTAGGGGTTGTTTGTGTCTTTTGAAGCTTCACTGCAGGTCATTGGTTTATGACTTTGCAAGTTTGGGTTTATTTTTTAATCAGATGCTGGGGGGGGGCGGGGAGGGGGGGGGAATAGTCCAGGAATCTCTCACGAAGAAAAGCACATTTAAAAGAAAAAAACACCACAGACTCCTCAACAGAATGTGCCATCAGGAGGTAATGAGCTCAGATAGCTTAACAGTACTGAAGCAGAGTTAGAATCATTGGGAAGAGTAACTTTAGTGCCTTTGTTGTGTATACTGATAGGGGACGACTGAGGTTCGTACTGAGGAGAAGTACCGATATAGTTTGGGCCCAGAAAAATACCTTCATTGCACACTTCATCATGCATATCAGAAGAGGAAAGATTGGGTTCAGATTTGGGAATATTGTAAGCTTTTATATAAAACACTACATAACAATGGGAATAGTGCTGGCGTAAATACAGCCAACAGATCCAAAAGCTAAAGCATTCACAAAAAGTTCACAAGTTCTATTTGTGCTAAAGGATACCTCTAAAATCCCCAGCATTTTCAACTATCTTAAAGGTGACATTGTCATAGAAAAGAGGAAAATATCAGAATGTCAATACCGTACTTTTAAAACAAAGGTTTTAAATATACATCTGGACGTTTAATCTGCGTCCTTAAGAGAGATTGCTCTTTTCCTCATAGATTGAAACAGAAGATGCAGGAACTCTGGGCCTGCCTTAGCCAAAAGGTTAAGTATAACAATTTACAATCAATCATATAAAAATCCTCCAAGAACTGAATTCCAGTATGCATTTTTTTTTACTTTAATCTCTGAAAAGAATCAAATCAATTTCACATTTACACGGGATCACTTTCTATTGAACTTGTCTGTGGGTCCTAAAATGTACAAGATGTTTATTTGATAGAATCATAGAACGGTTGGGGTTGGAAAGGGCCTGAAGATCATCCAGTTCCAAGCCCTCTGCCATGGGCAGGGACATCTCGCAGTAAACCATGTCACCAAAGACTCCATCCAGCCTGGCCTTGAGCACTGCCAGGGATGGAGCATTCACTACTCCCTTGGGCAACCCGTTCCATCTAAAGCACCTTTATGAAAAGTAAAACCATGGGATCGTTTAATTTGGCCAGGATTTTCTAAAGTATTTTCAAAATAACAGAGGAGCCCATGACTATACACAGGAAGATGCTTAACTCGCTGCATACTCTCTTGCTCCACTTTTAACTACTGAGAAACAAGAATAAGCCTCAAGAGTTCTGCTATATTTCTTCTCCAGTTTACACCGTATCACACTTTCAGGTGCTGCAGGACCAGCAATTTTAGAGTGCACCATCATGTAGGAGAACAAAATAAATTACTATGTCACTAATGTGGTTTTGCTAAACCTAGTCAAAATAACAACTGAGAGAAAACTCCAGGGACTCACCAACAAAGTTTAAGTCGACAAGCAGGTATTCTTTATTGCGCTGCCAGGAGACACTGGGGATAGCTCCTCCAAGTGTGTCTCTCCCAGGCATCAACGAGGCTCCGATTATATTGTCCTTAAACACACATATTCATTAGATTACATACATTACATCATACTTCTTAGACAATGCCTCCTGTATGCATACAAAAATGTGGTAGTAGGCTTTCGGACTCCCAGTGGTTAGTTCTTCATCACTTTGTTTTAGGATCATTTTCATATCAGTAACCACCAGGTGGTTCTGGCAAAGCTTATCTTAGTAACTTTGTTTTCTCTATAGTTGCTAACAAAGCCTAAGGTTCTTGAGGTTACCTATTTACAACCCTATTCTTCAATCAACCCCATTCTTCAATCCACCCTATTCTTCAATCAACCCCACACTTCACAATGAAACAGGCAGTTTGGGCCTTGGGCATGCTCTGTTTTGTCCAAGTTCTCATTTAAGAGGAGGGTATATATCCTTTTAACAGAGAGATGTCTCTAGAAAAAGGTAGTGCCAGAGCAAAACAGCTATGGCTCATACAGCTGCTCGGCAATTCCGTTTCTTGTCAGGAATGACATTCTTTCTAGTCACTAAGGAAATCTCAAGCCAGTCACGGTAAGCGAAATTTGCCCTGGCTTCAGGGTAAATTAAATGTATTTCTCTCGTGAATCTTCAGAGCCTGAAAATGCTTCCTTTCTAGAAAAGCTGCTGCAGATGTCCATCTCTGTTTTCTGCAAGACAGTCTTATCTGAGAACAAGGAACAGTTTTATAAATACTTATGAGCACTGCTGCCCTGAACTGAATCCTGTGTGTGCGCCCCAGGACCGCAGAAGGGGCGGGTACAGCGAAAAGGCGTTGGAGTAGCGGCTCCCCGGCGCCGGCGCTCCCCCCCGCCTGAGCGACGGCCCCGAGTCCGGCCTCTCACAGAGCCATCACCCGGCCACGGAGCGCCCCCTGGCTGCAGCGTGTACTGCCGGCGCATGCGCGCGCGGTACAGGGCTCCCTTTCGGAGCCCCGCCTCTTTGCTCCGGGTGGAAGTGACGCGTTGTCGGCGCCATGGCGGAGGCAGAGGGTGGGCTGCAGCAGGAGGGTGAGGGGAGGGTGAGGGGAGGTTGCGGTCGGGCGGTCGGGCCTTCGGGCCGGCCCTACTTATGCTCTAGCCTCGTTGTCCGTTGCAGATTGCCCAGGGAGCAGCAGTGCCCGGGCGGGTAGGGCCGCCGCCTGCCAGGGCTGTCCCAATCAGGGGCTCTGCGCTGCCGGCGCCGCCCCAGAATCGGGTGAGCGGGGCCTGAGCGGGGGGGGGCCGGCTTTGTGTGTAGAGGGGCTAGTGCAGGGGGCGGAGCCTGTGTACTAAGGGGTGTCTATGGGAGCTTGTGGGAGTGGGGGCGTGGCTTGCCTAAGGGGCGTTGTTTGTGGTGGCGGAGTTTATGGAGGCTTGGCCAGGGGCGGGGCTTGAGCTGGTCGTGCTTGCGCGTCGCTGATCCTTGTGACTGCTGCAGCGGAGCTGTCGGAGCTGCGGTCGCGGCTGCGGGCGGTGAAGCACACGGTACTGGTGTTGTCGGGGAAGGGCGGCGTGGGCAAGAGCACCTTCAGCGCACTCCTGGCTCACGGGCTGGCAGCGGACGAGGCCAAGCAGGTGCGCGGGGCGGGCGGCACGGGGTAGGGCTGCGGCGGCCGGGCTGCGGCGGCCGCCCTCCGGCTCGGATCTGCGGACCCGCTGTGGGTGCGCCTGAGCGTTCCAGGCGGCTGCCAGCGGGGGGCTGGGCTGTGTTCCAGGTTGCTCTGCTGGACATCGATATCTGCGGGCCATCCATCCCTAAAATGATGGGTCTGGAAGGAGAACAGGTAAGTGAACGCTCAAACGTGTTGATTAAAGAATGTCTGCCCAATTTTTCATTAACGTTTTAGGGTCTTGTAGGGTTTATTAGAACTTCTAAAATGACAGTTTATTGGGAAATGGATGTGGCAGTGGGCAAGGAAGTACAGGCAATATGGACAAGCTCAGCGTGATGTAGTCTGTAAAAGAGTTGACTTCTTTCAGGATGACCAGCTCTGCAAGCCAATTTTTGCTGTATATTGGCCATATGTTCATGGCTACATAGAACTTTAGTGATGTCAGCATGATCAGCCCTAAAATATTTTATATCAACCTATAAAGTCATGGGTAAACTTCTTGCAGCTGGGTTGAACAGTTGTTACTCACTTGCTAATGGAGATCTGGTTTTCCTGCAGCTCTTAGCTCAGCTGCTGCAGCACAAGCATCACTGCACCTATTGGCAGGGCAGTGCTTTATGTGTTTTATGTGACATCTGTATTCATTTGCACTATCACTTGATGGCTCTTGTCTGTTCATCTGTTCAGGTTCATCAGAGTGGATCTGGCTGGTCTCCAGTGGTGAGTTGGGGCAGCCCTTGCGGAGAGGCCATTGGGTTCATTTGGGTTGGGCACAGCCTACTATGGGGGGAAACTAATGAGGCGGGGTTACATGGGGTGCTGCTGTTGGTTCTTTTTCTAATTACATAAATTCCCAGACCCTATAGAACTGATAGGCTATATATAAAAACCAAGGTTTAATTTCTTAATAATACTGTATTTGTTGAATAGTTTATGATTTTAAGTATGACTTGTTTACTGAATTTCTTACTGTACTATGACTACTGTGCGTATGCTGTTAAATACCACTGTAAGTCTTTGTACAACTGGATTTTTTCAGTCTGTGAATGTAGCTGGTCAGCATTTTGCAAAAGGTGTAGTTTCTAGTGCCCTTTGATGAGACTTGTGTAGGTTCTCTGCCTTTATTTTCTTCATGGCTCCCCTCCCCACCTGCTTTTTCTACAAGGTCTGGTTTCAGAGTTTGTTTCCCTAGTCTGCCTTTACTGTTCTGTATGTTCTAACTGAGTGTCTCTACTTCTCCTAAGTACGTTGAAGAAAACTTAGGTGTCATGTCAGTGGGATTCTTGCTAGGTAGTCCTGATGATGCTGTCATTTGGAGAGGACCCAAAAAGAATGGTATGTATCAAGTGTTTTTAACGGTAATTTATGTACTTGAAAGATTTTATGTCATAAACACATTTAATTAGTAACATAAATAGTATGGTAAGCTGTTGTAACAATGAGTGAATGGTTACTTCTTTTCTTTAGTTGAACATTCATTTGATGAAAGTGAAGCGCTGTATTTTTGTAAGTTATAGAATCACAGATCAGTTTGGGTTGGAAAATACCTTAAAGCTCATCCAGTTCCAACTGGATCCATCCTGTCCACGGACAGGCACACCTTCTACTAGGCCAAGTTGCTCCGAGCTCCATCCAACCTGGCCTTGAACACTGCCAGGGATGGGGAAGCCACAGCTTCTCTGGGCACCCTGTGCCAGCGCCTCAGCACCCTCCCAGGGAAGAACTTCTGCCTAAGAGCTCATCTCAATCTGCCCTCTGTCAGGTTAAAGCCATTCCCCTTTTTCTGTCACTATAGGCTTGTCAGAAGCCTTAGCAAAATAAGCATTCCTGTAGTTAAGTTGACAAGTCAGCAGAACCTGCAGATCTGGACTGTAAAAGTTGAAAAAGACTCTAAAATTTTAACTACGGGGAGATTTTTTTTCTCTTCCACATTTTTTATCCTTTCTTTTAGGGTTGATCAAACAATTTCTTCGTGACGTGGACTGGGGTGAAGTGGACTACCTGATTGTAGATACACCTCCAGGAACATCAGATGAACATCTGTCTGTCGTGCAGTACCTCAGTGCAACGCACGTCGATGGGGCTGTTATAATCACTACCCCTCAGGTAGGAGAACTTGGTTTCTGTTGGTAAAAGCCTTGTGGCAGTTACAGCCAATTCTTGGGTTAGAGACGGAATGACAGTCCAGACCAAAGGGGGTTGTCATTCCTGGTTTGTCCTACAGCTGGCTGGTTTGTGAGATATGGGTGTCTTGGGGGAGAGGGGGGATCTGAGCAGGTCACTAAATCACTAGGCAGTTCACAGTCAAAAGCTTTTGGGTTGTGCATGAAGGAAAGGCAGGATTTTGCTTTGTTCCTTGAGCAAGATCATAGTTCACATTGTCAATCTGTAATCTGCTCACCAATGGCCTAGTGCTCAGGAATCAGGGGGAAGTATAGTTTTTAAGTGGTAAGATGTGCAGTTTTACACCACATGAAGCCTGTTGCTTCCAGTAGGCAACATTATGATGTGCATTTTTAAAGAAAAAAAGTCAGCGCCTGGAGAGCTGAAAGTCAGCAAACATGTTTTAGTGCTTGATTTGGCAAGGAAGGGGAGATCTAAGTAGCAAAAGATATGTAGCATTTCCACAACAGCTGAAAGAATAAAACGTGAAGGAAGTGAAGTGGTGAAGGCAATACTGGATAGGTGGTGAGGGAAGGAGAGGGGAGCAGGAGAACTGAAAGAGGTCATGCATATATCTGAAAAGTCTGAGGGGATCATGAACTTTTTCCAGTTAAATTTGGTGGTTCTTGTCCTTGCCTGCTCTACTGAGAATCCCAGGGGTCTTCCTGTAAACTGAAAGTGTGAGAAAGTTACCTTTCAAGAACTAAAGATAAGAGATTAATACAGGAGATGAACGTGGCTGAATCTCTGCTAGAGTCCAGTCAGATTTCAAAACAGAACCACATTCAGTGGGCTAGAACTGCTGAACCTGTTCTACTGCTATGTTTAGAATTGTTGCTGGAGCACATAACAGAGGTTCGTGGTCTTCAAAATACAAATTGAACCGTAATAATTCACCATAAACTTCCCTTAAAAATGCTCTAAGTGGGTTCAGCATCCAAATGTTACAGTCACAACAGCAGTGTTTCCCAATGGTTGCAGGAAGTAGCGCTTCAGGATGTTCGGAAGGAGATCAACTTCTGCCATAAAGTGAAACTGCCAGTCATAGGTGTTGTGGAAAATATGAGTGGCTTTGTATGTCCAAAGTGTAAGGTAAGGCTGCCTGCATGCTACAAAGGGTTTTACCATGGCCCCAAACCCACCTTGCTCTCAAAAACCGCAGTATTTAACTCTGATTTTCATGTTGTCCCAGAAAGAGTCTCAGATCTTTCCGCCAACTACTGGAGGTGCAGAGAAGATGTGTCAGAATTTAAATGTTTCCCTCCTGGGTAAAGTGCCTCTAGATCCTCGAATAGGTAAAGCTACCGTAGTGCACTATGCTTAAAACAAGCTTTTTCTCCTATACTGACATTGTTACCAGAAAACCCTGACTTGGACACTGATAAATTAGAATATGAAATATTTTGCCTTAGGTAAATATTCCCTTTTAGCTAGGACATTTTTTTTCAGTCAGAAGTTCCTGGAACTGCAGCAGAGTGTGGTGTGAAAGGGGAAAGTGCTTGGATAACTCCCTTAGCCTGAAACATAATCTTGTTTAAGATTAGATTATGCATCTTTTCAGCTGCATAATCATATCTGAAGAACAGCATGTCTTTCTCTTTGGTTTCATCACCTGGAAGTGCAGACTGAATAAAATTGACACCGCTACAAAGAATAGTATCTTGTGGGTGTTAAGTGTTAAAACTAGTGCTTTAACTTCAGGGTTCCTGGAACCACCCAAGTTCCCTTGTGGAGAGTGGGAAGGCTTGGTTCCTTGCCCACTAGCTGTTACCAATTAATACTTAATTTAACGACATCCAGGAACGTGTCAGTACTTCCAGACTAATGAGTGAAGGTTCCTGCTGATAGTTATTCGTTCATAGAACTGTAAGCTGTAGTTCTCAGTTATATTACTGACATGAGGAAGAGATGCAGGTGGCTCTTTGGAGAGAGAGAACTAGTAGCGGAGTAAAGGATAAAATAAACTTCAGCTTTTCCCATTGTTTTGCTCTTGTGTTTTTCCCTGTCCTTCAAGGAAAATGTTGTGACAAAGGCGAGTCTTTCTTGTCTGAAGCACCTGAGTCTCCAGCTACATCATCGTACAGGAACATCATTCAGAGTAAGTCTGAAAATCATTGTGTTGAATTAGTCCTCCCAGCTCTGAGCACTTCTGCAATAAATATGTGTGTTAAGCAGAATTATGTTGGTTTGCCCCGAATAATAACAACAATAGACGTGTAGTAATTATGAAAGTAACATGCAAATACTAATTCACATTTCTGGTCATCAGTTACAACAGGCTTCTCAAGCAGAAACAAAACTGTATTTAATAACTGGTTACAACATTTGTCTTCAGTCATTAGTTTTGTTTTCAGAAAAGATGTGTGTACTTGCCCTCACAGAAATGTCCCAGGATTCTTTATCAGGCCTGTTACAGCTGAGTGTGACACAGCTGGCAAAGTACTGCCTCCACTTCTAACTGTAATGGCACAAAAACCCCATACAAAAGCTACCTGAAGAGCTGGGGATGGACAGTTTGAAAAAATACAATGGCTGGGAAATTCCTAAAGCCATTTCTACTGTGATAAAGGCCCAGCTAGTGGTGTTTGTATTAACAGGGAACAGAGTAAGGCAGCAGTAATTAACTTGTGAAGTGCAACTGAAATATTATTTATATTACTTTATCCCTGTCTTTGCAGGAATTCAGGAGTACTGTGATCAACACCATCTTCCAGAATAAACGATTATTTAATCTAGGAATGGAATAAAAATGTAGTTCCTGTTTAATTATAGAAAAATAACTTATGCCTTGATATAATAGAAGGAATGTATTCTTTTTGTATATTGCAAATAAATTCTTAATATAAATGTTCTTGCCTTAGGTTCTTTCCGTAGTTGAAGACTCCTCTAGTTCATAGGTGGTCTCAAACCTTGCTACAGTGCTGTAAAACTGAGTCTTCAGCTGGGTTGCTTAGGTGCAGTCTGCATCCTTTGTCGTCGTATTAACAGCCTGAACATGCAGCTGGCGTTTGAAGACATGCGTGCATGAGATTTTATTTAGAAAATCGAATATAAAATACACTTCATTGGTATGGGGGTGTTGTATCTAATGTATCTGCTACACACACGATAGCATGGGGTGTGACACCTACTTGCTTGTGCTTTAACTGGATAACACCATTTCAGTGGAAAAGATTGTATTTTGAGTGAGATTCAGTGCAGTAGTGTCTTTTCTTTTTACAATTGCCACCAGTTTTAAAGTAAAAACCTACTGGAATTTAGGTGAGTTAATTATAGTACAGTATTTTATTTATTACAGGTATCAGAATAGGGTTAACGTACTGTAACTACATGTAACTGGCTGCTCCACGCAAGTACTCTGTGAACTTGCTGAGTGACTTTTGTTCTTCCTTCTACGTGACGGTAAGCCCGAACACTTAAAAATAAGCATTTAGTATCTTTGAGAGGCCATTTGTGATTATAATTCCTCTCTGTTCTTATTGAGGAATCAAAGGTTTGAGAAACCAGCATTGTGTTCCGGGGGGAAAGGCAGTTTGGTTTTGTTTATTGTAGTTCTAAAATAAAACAAATGAGCATAGTTTTCCAATTCCATGCTAATTCTTGGTTAAAATAATCCAACAGTTGGGGGTTAGTTGACAGATGTGTTAGTGTGCTCTGTATGAACTCCAAGCATTGGGTTTGTGACTATACAAACCACTTTTTGATGAAACTTGTAAGTAGCAAAGGCTCTAAACCTTTCAGAATCTAAAGACTTGAACACAAATGACAAAATCATGATTTCATGCAGGTATAATTCTAGAAGAGCTTTACTTAAATACTTTCCTATGAAGAATAGTTTTCACAAATGAGTGTTTTTACTATTCATCCTCCTTGTTCTTCCTTATTTGATTATCTAGTGCCTGTCTTCCCATGTTCCTCAGTGCAGTCTCCTGCCATTCTCCTCGTCTGTCCTGTAGGATGAAGACAGGACATGAGTGTGTCAGCACCCCTAGTATGTAGGAATCTTATATAAGAATCAGGGAAGAGCCAGGTGGAAGCCTGAGGGTTGAAGATGGGTCCCCCAGCTGTACCTAACCAGATGCACTATGAGACCTCAGGAGGCACCTCTCCAAAGGCTTAACTTGGAGAACGTTCTTCATGGGGTTTGGAAACAACTCAGCTGGGGAGCTACAGCAGGCCTCCAAACACAGAGCAGGGTGAAATGGAGTAAGGCTTAGTGAAGGGTCAGGACATCTCTGCCAGGGTTATTGCAGGAGCTAAGACCTGGGAAGAGCCAAACCTAACAGTGTGGGGCAGGTTGATATGTGGTACTTCATGGGTTGTAGCTGACAGACCAACTTGGTACTTACTCTTGGGAACATCTGCTGTGACAAAAAACCTTGAGGTTACTCTGCTGTTGCTTTTTTGTCCCCCTAATTTGCAGTGGATGTAGCCATATAAATTAGCAGTCTGAAGGGAGATCCCAGCTATCACAAGAGCCTGTGGACAAACAGAAGTTGAGCAGGGATAAATATACCGCTATATACAGACTATGTGTAGAATATATATATATACAGGTGTGTACATGTGTGCACATACGATTTAGCTGTAAATAAATGCTACAAGAGGGGGACAGTCCTTCCAATAATAAAAGATCTTCAAACAGATCCAATCATGTCAAACACCATAGTTCCTTTCTACAAAATGTCTCTTTATCAAAACACTGATACATATTTATTTTGTCACTCTGTATCTTGAAAGATTTCATTACTTTCCTAAAAGCACTTAATCAAAAAGCACCTATTGAACAGATTCCATAATCATTCCACTTTTGTTAAGCCTGATTTGTATCTGCAAGTTTCACATCCAGATACATAGCAAACCTGCAGTCTTGTTTAGCTGACAAATGCCTTATTAAATACAAATAAGATCCTGTAACTTGCAGATTTCCAAAGAGGATCAATAGATAGGAATCAATATCTAGCATTATTAGGCAGTGAAAATAATCTGATACGTTTGTGGTACTGTAGATTTAGCAGCAGGCAGAATCTATTTGATTGACTAATGAAATAACTTACTGAAGTTGTTTTTCTTAGCCTCAGCAACAGTTTCCTTGGAGCTATCATATCTTCCATCTGTGTAACTTGCCTTTTGCAACCACCTGAACAACCTGCATCCAGTGCCAGTTAGGGTTCCACCTCCAACCAGCAAACAAACTGGTCCTAAAGATAAAGCTGGAGTGGTGGAGAAAGACTGCGGTTTAATTCGACTATTGCTTGTTTGGCTGTGCCATTCAGGGCAGCAGAAAGTGGTTAATGATATGCAATTGATTCATACGCATAGCTAAATTTCCCGTTTCATTTAATAAAATGTAATCTGTTACTGGTTATGTAGCTGCACATCTCCAAGACGCTTTTTATCTTTTCAAACTGTATTAAGAACTGTAGTGAGCAAGGCTAGGAACTTGACAAAATGAGTTCTACGGGGATTACCCAGACACTTCATGTCTACAGGGGAAAATGTGAAGATTTCATAGAAAAAGATATCTTAATGCAGTTTATGGAGCAAATTTCCTTTTGTAGTTAGAAAAATACATCATGTATTTATTTTTTTTTTTGTAGGATAGGTTGCTTATAAATACAGTAATTATAAAATACATACTGACAACTGAATTTATCAAGGTTTTAAGCACTATGGTGTTGATTCTTTCAAAAAGGAATGGTATCGGAGACTTATTTTTAAGAGCAAGTAACACTCCAGTCCTGAGGTTATTTAAAAACCTGAACACCAGCATCACTGGTTTGCTTTTTGTCCTATTCTGTTAACTTTCTTTGACTGAATTACGTTGGGGAAAGTTGGTTGCTACACTTAAAAAGAAGTCCACAATTTCACCAGCCACTTCAGGTTCTCAAGTTAGATGAAGGAGCTGACATCTAACAACCTAGCAGAAGTGGGGCTAAAAATTAATCTGTTCCAGAGTGCAGGGCTTGACTGCAGAAAATTTCTTGTGATCGCACAAAGCTGTTACTAGAATTTTTGTACTGTTACGAGTTCTGTACTGGTTCAAAGACTCTTGTAAAACCAATAGATCTGGGGTTTTCTCTCTGTCAACACTTTCTGTCAGCCACAGGTCTGTCAGTACCCTCAGACTTACCAGCCATTTCAGCTTCAAGGAGAACAACGTGCTAAAGAAAAACATGGTCCAAATAACTGGACAGATAATGAGACCAAGCCAAAAGATTCGAGCTTCTGCTTCAGTTGAGGCAGCTATTGAAGGCACCTAGAAGAAAAATTTTTGAAACCACTAGTCACAAAGACAAAAGCCACAATAAGTAACAAATCAGCAGAGGAGGAGAAATAGGTAAGATTACATCTTTGCCTAAATTTCACTTATATGCATAGAAGGAAGACTGAATAAGCACAGAAGCAGCTAATGCCAGGTTTTCTGCCTACTGCCCTACCATATGTTGACAGCTTTTTCTTTTCAAAATGTTCTGGTCTTTGTTCACATTTGAATGAATTATTCCTTTTGTCACTAATAGCTCCCACTAACACTATGGATCAGTAGTAGTATTTTAAGGTCTAAGCTCTGTTACACTGACAATTCGTTTTTAAACTTCAGAAATACTAAGTTAACTGTGACATTAGATTGAAACTTCACCAAGGCCTTAGAGCAGTGTGAAACAGAAGATAGCGTTACAAGCAGAACTTCAGTGCGAGTACTTCACTGTCTGTAGTGTAAATTCATGACAGGTGCCCTGTTCACAAATCAAAAGCATGAGGGGGAAGGGCAGTAAGTCTGGAAAAAAAACCCTCAAAGCAGATTGTAAAAAGTCCTGGTTGCAGGTATCTTCAGGTCAACACAACTCCTGTCTTTCTATACACTGAAAGTCTCACTGTTAACTCCTATTACCTAAAAGATACTAAAGAAATTGTACAGAAGGTTCTGATCTTTTCTAGAAGACCAGAATTCAAAATCTTACTCCAAACCTCAGACCACTCAACCACCACTTGTGCCAGCTTCTGAAATACAAGCTTCACAACTGGATAAGAAAACCCTGGGGACTCTTCCACTCTGAAAACCAAAAAGCTTTTTAGTTCATTTTCAGTATCTTGAATTCTCATGTAAAAATAAGACTCATCCATCCATCTTGAGGCAGACAGTGGCATCCAACTTGTAAGTACAATTTAGTTACTCTATCTCACCTAGGAAAACCCCGAAAGACACAATAATTACAAGGTGTCTTTAATTTTCTTATGTACTCTCCTAACCAGTGGTGTTGCAGAGGTCCAGAGACTAATGTTCTATGACTTCATAGTTACAGAAAAAGACAGATGTTCTGGATAAATAAAACAGTTTAATCACCTGTGTCCCAAACTTCTGACAAATTACCCAACCGGACACTGCACTAGCACTGACTATTTAGGAGGAAAAAAAGTCAGTACACCTGAGGACTCTGCGCCTAAAAGACCTAATTAACTTAATTAAGCAAGATTACAAAAGGCTGTAATCGTCCTAAAAGAAAGGAGAGAGGAACTGTGGTAGTTGGAATATAAGAATTACTTTTCTTCTAGCTAAATCTCAGCAGAAGGTGGGATTTCAAGAGTGAGCCCCTGTTGTGCCAACATCACCCGAGGAATTAGCTGCCTATTGTTGCTAAGTGATTTGGAATATTTCTAAGCAAATATACCTGTGAAGCAAGAGAACTTAAAGTTGCTAGAGGACTAGCAAAGAAGGTGGGGAATGCCTGATGCTGAAAATTAAGAGAATTGCATGTAGTCCAGGACCTTGCCGAGACAATGTATTTCCTACCAATAAGCCATGACAAAAATACAATCCACTCTAATGATATGTCCCTTCTGGGTGCTGATTTTACATAAATCAAGCTACCATTCGCAAGAAGGCTTTAGCTTATACAGCTGAGTCAACTTTGTACTTCTAGGCTAGAACTAACAAACTGTAGGAGGTGAATTAGGCTGGCTCATCTCAGTAATTTTGAGGTCAGGTCTTTTTATGGATGCTGTTGCTTTTAACTGCTAAGAAAGCTCTTGTCTTGCCTTGACAGAACTAAGAAACTCGGAAGGTGCTCTACTTTCTTTGCTTCCATGCAGGCTAGCCTATGTTTTGGGGTTTCAGTTGCAGTACGTTAACAGCTCCACACCCTCAAAGGTGCGCAGCCCTACTGCGGGTTGCAGTTTTGCTCGGGCACAGAGCTACTAGAGGGCACTCTAGGCCTGCACACGGAGAGTACCCACTCCACACCGTGCTGCTACACAGGCTCTGTGCGCAGATGGACTGGCTGCAATGAATTCTCCTAGTGAGTAGCACCTGAAGTGGTGTTCCGCCAGGCTCTTGCCGGAATGGGGTTGTGGGGAGCATGATAGCAAGTGAAAGCAAAAGCCTGCAGTCTTGACTGTGACAGCAATGCCATGCCATTTCAGAGCGTCTGCTCAGGGTGTTTGGGGGAGCACTGGCAGTATCAGAGTCCTCTGCGATCCAGGTTCTGTTCCCCAGTATATTCCATGAGCATTAATAAAATATTAATTTTACCAACGTGGATACAAACTATTCAGCATTGCTTTCAACATAGATCTTTCCTAAAGAGGTTTCTGCACTGGGATTGACTATGAGTAGATATGTTTATTATAAGATATTCTCACTGGAAAATAAAACTACCAAAGCCATTTCATACCATTAATACCATGCTATGAATTTTATTTTGCTGATGCAAATGGTGACGATGTTGCGAGTCTGGTTCTGTCCTAAATGTTTCCAGGATGTAACAGTCCAGGGGCTTGCAACAGAATACTTACAGTATCTTCTACAAAAGCTGGATAAACATAACTATTACAAAGGTGCTCCTTGGTTACTTTATTTGACTTGGTACCAGCTTCACAAGCTTTCCTATGGATTCTGTTTGTCCTGTGCCTACTTTTGTTAGCAGACTTACCCTTTTTGCTTCAAACACCCAGTGGCTTTTTCCATCTTCATCAATCTGGTTCCACCAACGCAAACCAACCAAGAGTCTTCCTGTCACATTCTAGTGACAGAAACAATTATTTACATTAATCAGTAGCGTAATTCACTTTTCAGACTAACAAAAAAGAAAGGTATGTCTGAAAATCATGCTATTTTGGAGCTAATTTTAGTATTTTATAAAAGCTGTGTCAGCTTGAGCACAACAGTCAGTAAGGATGGATGAGTTCCCACAAATTTAGAGGCCTGCTCTTTTCCAACAAGATAATTAGTACAATATTATTGATTTAGGTAAGAAATTATAGGGTGTATCTTTTCTAAGTCAGTTAGTTGGAGAAGCCCTCAGTAAACAGATTTCCTCAGTAGGATAGGAGAACCGCAAACAAAACTACAGTGGAAAAATGGATGATAGAACTGTGAGGAATCAAGCAAACAAATTAAGAAAATATTTCTGCACCTGGTTGAATACTAGGTTTCAGTATATTGAATATACAACAATACTTCAGTCCCATACAACTTGTTCACATGTCCCTCAGAGGTTGGTGTTGGGACCGAATCTGTTCCACATCTTTGTCAGTGACGTGGGCAGTGGGATTGAGTGTGCCCTCAACAAGTTTGCTGATGACACCAAGCTGTGTGGTTTGGTTGACAGCTGAAGGGTAGGGATGGGATCCAGAGGGACCTTGACACGCTTGTGAGGTGGCCAATGCCAACCTCATGGAGTTCAACCAAGCCAAGTGCAAAGTCCTGCACCTGTGTCAGTCCTGCTACAGGCTGGGCAGAGAATAGACTCAGAGCAGCCCTGCAGAGAAGGACTTGAGGGTGTTGGTTGATGAGAAACTTAACATGAACTGGCTTCAGTGTTCGCTTGCAGCCCAGAAAGCCAACGTATCCTGGGCTGCATCAAAAGGAGCGTGACCAGCAGGTCGAAGGAGGTGATCCTGCCCCTCTACGCTGCTGTCGTGAGACCTCACCTGGAGTACTGTGTACAGTTCTGGTGTCCTTAACATATGAAGGACATGGAGCTGTTGGAGCAAGCCCAGAGGAGGCCACGAGGATGATCAGGGGGCTGGAGCATCTCCTGTATGAACACAGGCTGAGGAAGTTGGAGCTGTTTAGCCTGGAGAAGAGAAGGCTGCATGGGGACCACATAGCAGCCTTCCAGCATCTGAAGGGGGCCTACAAGGATGCTATAGAGGGACTCGTCATTAGAAACTGTAGTGACAGGACAAGAAGTAATGGGTTTAAACTTAAACAGGGGAAGTTTAGATTGGATATAAGGAAGTTCTTTACTGTGAGGGCAGTGAGGCACTGGAACAAGCCCCCCCCCCAAGAAGTGGTAAATTCTCTGTCCCTGTCAGTGTTCAAGGCCAAGTTGGAGAGCCTTGGGTAACATGGTCTAGAGTGAGGCGTCCCTGCTCATGGCAGGGAGGTTGAAACTGGATGATCTTAAGGCCTTTTCCAACCCAAACCATTCTGTGATTCTCTGTGGAGCCCCTGGGGTTCTAGGCTGGCCTGAGCTACCTGCCTGCATGTGCTTAGGGCACCGATGCCATAGCTGGGCTCCCAGGATTCTTCTGCAGTTCCTGTATGCTGCATCTGGGCACAGTATTGTGACTTTGGACGTCCTTTGGCATCCACTACTGAAAACCACTACTACTTTATTTCTGCATTTTTTTAGGGGGGAAAGCATACAAACAGCTCTACTGCAAGCAAGGTGATTTTCTCACCATATTAGTAGCTCCCATCAGGCATTGAGAACATGGTGATACATACTAGCCAAGATATGTAAATGCCTTAATGAAAATGGACTAGACATTTAATGAATTAACAGATCACAATATCTTTGTCACTTCTGACAGTATACGCTTTTTTGCTTTATTAAATAGTACACAGAATCCTTCAAAGGTAGTTACTATTCAGGGACATCTTACCTTAACTGACCAAAAGTCAAAGGATAGAAGGAGGAGAATAGTGACAAAACAGGCAACGAAGCTGTTGCTGAACCAGTCACACAACAAGTAGGTGACAATGGCACTCACTCGGAAAAACAGGTGGAAAAAGGTAGCCAGTGGGTGCCTAGAAAAAAACCCCAAACACAGAGCACTTAGGAAGTTACGAGACAAGAAGGAATGTTACAGTATTTGCTAACAATGTAGTATAACACAACTATTTCTAGTTGTGGTTCTTTTTTCTGTAGTAGTATTTTGGTGCATAGCTGGTATTATTTCATATGTTAATGTCTATCTTCATTATCTAAGCAATAGTATTTCCAATAGGCAGCCTTCAAACTAAAGCTAGAAGACGGAACATGTTGTTCAAGTCAAAACTTTCTCAAAGACAGAACAAAATAGTCTTTCACCAGTTTCTTTAGTAATGCATGAAGAAATTTAGCGATTGTGTTCAACATTGTACTCTAAAATCCTCATTGCTTCATTAAATAAAAGAGAATTGCAAAGCACAGAAGAATTAAAATGTATCTTATGCCTTTCAGAACTGTTTTGAAAACAGGAACTCTGAAAAAAAATATTTCAAAAAATAGCTGCTGGTTATAAGGCAAAATTAATCTCCATATGTAATGTCTGAAACCAAACCCCTCCTTATACAGAGGGAGTACAAGCTGGGAACCTAACAGTTCCTATTAATTAATGTTCATTAATTTCACTAGATATTTGTGCTTTGCTCATTAAACAAAATTTCATCTGTAACAAAATAAAGGGGAATTTAAGTGGAAGCAGCAGCTCTATAGCATGGAATACTGGCCTGTACAGTGAGACAGGGGGGTTGCAGAATGCTGTAATGAGCACAGGACAATTTTCAGGGTAATATGCCAAGTGCAAAAATTTATCCTGTACAGTTGGGTTTATGTTAGTTTGAAGTGACAATTAGCTAGAGGCTGTTTCATTTAAGTAACTTCTTCCCTTGAAACTGTGTGACTAAATCTTGTTTTCTGAATAGGGTTTATTTTTTAAGTCAGTGGTTCCCTCATCTAGCTCCTCTACCACTGTAAACAATAACAGTAGTATGGCCTAGGTCATAATTAACTATTCAACTATTAAATTTGTTCTTCTATTATTGTGTATAATAAAATGATACGTATATATGTAATTATAATTACTTATTACAATATATTAGAATGAGAAGTAAGTTATAATAGTTATATCTAGGTTGTAATATTATTATTCTATAGCTCTTTAACTGTCCTAGTAATCATATTTTCTATCATGGCAATACTGTGCTTGTAGTACTGCACACGCATCACTAGAAAAGCAAGCATGAGGCCCAGCTGTAGTTTATATTTACTCTTGATCAAAATCTTTTTTCTGACTTAAAACTAAACGTGGAATTTTAAATAAAAGGAGCTTTTTCTGCCATAAGCGGCTAGGTGGGTGGGTGGAGCAGAGGGAATATTTTAACTGTCAAAACCAGACTGTCTTGCTACTTCAGGTATTGATCTCAATCAAGAAGATAATGAGAGTTCACTGAGTCAGTGGTATTCTGTCAATACAAGCTTTTCAGAGATCACAGCTCTAAAGCTCATCAGGGTGGACTGAGCTTTTATAACTGTATCAGTGCTTCAGATTTGAAAGTAACTTTAGTGCTTCATTTTGAAAGTCAGATGATGAATGATTGGATGCTAAATCAATACCAATCCAATATCAAACTTAGAAGGTTGTTTACTAAAAATAAGCAATACATGAGCAAAAGGCTCACATTTCTTACAGCACTAAACTCTTTATTGAGACTACAGAGTATCAGTCCCTTGCAAGTATATGGCTAGCAAAGCCACAGACAGACTTGCAGGTTCTTGTCCTAGGGGAATAATATGGAGATATATTAAAACTTGCATCTCATTCTTTGGACAACTCTCTTGATCTCAGAAAATGTCTACCTATTTACACTTAAAAAAAAAAAAAACAACATAAATCCTGAAACTAACAGAATCCAGTAAATAAACTGTTCACTTCCTCAGTTAACAGAACAAATGTTTTCTTAATTCACAGCCATCAGATGAAATTTATAGCTCCTATCATACATGAACAGAATTTCTGATAAGGAGATAATCCCAGATAGATAAAATTGCCTTTAAAACCTGAAGCTAAAACTTCTGCATCCTTTTTGAAAGAATAAGTTTTGTAGCTTTTCTTATGCATTTATATAGAATTTAATTGTACTTTATAAAATTTTTTTAAAGCTAATTTCCAGAAGTATGATGACATTAAGAAATCATTGTATAAACTAACATGATTTCTTGTACTAATGGAAGTCAGTATAGGCTTTAAAACATGGTAACTTTGGTTTTTGCCTGCAAATCCAGTAATGAATAAAGGTAGCTAAAATTCTGCACTGGCTCTGTTTGACATATTCACTCCCGGAAGCACAGAAACCCACGTGCTTGGACTTCTAGTCATCCTGCTACATTTAAATCCATGTAGTATAGACCTGGAGTCCGGAGGCTAAACGATTACCATTTATCTTGTTACAGTAAACTCCATTCAGTTGGCAAGCATGATGCTTATCAGGATAGAAATGAGCTGTTATGAATTTAGTTGCATCCTATATTAAGGAATCAAATTGGATTAACCCTAATGTATACCACTGAACCACAGGAGAATCATTCCCAGTACCTGCTCAGAAGTGCACAGGCAGCACTACATGCTGCTTTTCGTACCTCTGTCTGGTACTTGAGATATATGTAGGCAAATTTTGAACAAACAGGTTATCTAGCTTGATTATGCTGTGTTACCTGAGTGATCTGAAAAAGAAGCAATCATATATGCTCGTAACTGTTCCAGATCAAATGTTGTGGTACTGAAATGAACTGCAAAGATGGTGTAAGTTAGCTTTTTCCTAATCTTCTTATGAAAGTAGCCACTAACTAAATCACTAGCCACACATCTTTTGCTTTACTTGCAGATACCTTGGAGAATCACAAAAGCACAACTTGTCATGCAAATTCTAACAGAGTTCAAGACAGATGAAATTGGGATAAAGTTAAAGACAAATGATTGTAACATGTTGTTATGCCCTCTAATAGGACAATGAAATTCAACAGCACATTGGGCGTGTTCCAGACTTGTTAGCACAAGATTCTTCAGAAACATGAAAACAAACTTCTGTGTGAACAATGTAAGGAGTTTCATTTCTGTATTCTATAGCAGAAGCTTTTTCAGTATGAGAGTATCTTTTAGTATTCTCACAATGAGGGTAAGAAAGAAGAGCAGTCTCTAATGAAATAAGTACCTACACAAAGTGGATCAATGAATACTGTGGTTTACTGATACTTTGCCTGTCTACATTATTGGGTAGAGTGAACCAGTAGGAATGGATCTCCAGAGTAAAGTAACTTGTGCTGTAGAGCTCCTACAAACATTTTGGGGTGGTTTCACTTCATGCTAACTCCCGTCTGGTCGCACAGACTGTATCTGTGGCTTGCACACTCAAGATACTCCTAAACTGTATTTCCCAGTTTAGTCCAATCCTTTCCGCTGTCTTCTCCAAGACTGCACCAAAATATAATTCTTTGTTTAAAAACTGCTGCTGCTAAAGCACAGAAACAAAGCAATTCCAGGAATGATAATCTTGTACTGTGGCTGACTCCTCATGTAGTTTCAAAGTCCAATGCACTGGAAGGGCAGAAATGCCTCACCAGGCTCTAGTAAAACAGAGTAACTGTATTGTAAAACTATGTGATTGCTTATTTGTGCATGTCAGATAACATTTATGTTAGGCTTAACATCTCTTATTTTTCCTTGTTCACACTGACAAGAAATATTAACATTGTCATGGTCCAGAGTAAACTGGGGATGGTGGAAGGGCAGAAATCAATGTAAGTCAAAGCTGATTATATACATTGACTAGTGCATGCATATGTATAATTTCTTTTGACATAAAACTTTCCCCTTTACATCTTTGACTGGAGGCTCTTCAAAAGCCAGTGATGGAACAGCAGCTCTGTGGGACCTTGGTGTGGACAGAGCTGCAGAGTGACACCTCTGGGAACCTAAAGGAAGACTGCTTTACCCTGAAGGATCAACGGGTTGGGTTTTCTCAGGTAACAGCTGCAGAGGTAAATTACATTATAATCCTCATAATATCACATATCATGATAGGAGAACATGACAGTTTTATTTTGAATAACTTGATGTTTCCCTTCAGCTGGGTGTGCAATACAATGCCAGAGCACTCTGCTGCACAGCTTGTTTTGCTGGAGATGTGCTCTCTCGAATTCTCTAGCTCGAACAAAAACACTGCTTGGTTGCTGGGGCTTTTTCCGTGATATGTCGGCCACGGGTGTGTGAAATCTCCGTTTCCAGTGGCAGGACGATGCCTGGCGTGCCGAGCAACCGGGCTCACTGCAGCAGCCTAGCACTGACCGGCCTCCCGGGCACACACCTCAGCCTCCCCAGCCAGCCTGTTCCTGCGCTTGACCACCCTCCCTGTAAGAAACCGGAATTCAATGTTTAAATGGCGTTTCTGTGTTTCAGTGCGCCAGTCCAGCCGCAGCAGCAGGGGATGCCCAAGCCCAGTCACCCCAGGCGGGCGCCGCGGTGCTGAGGCCTCCGCGCCGGGCCCGCCTCGCTCCCCGCGCCGTTACCTGATCTTGGCTTTGCGCAACGCCAGCTCCTCCTCGCTCCCGAAGTCGAGGGACACATCCTCGGTCTCGTCCACCAGCGCCTGCTGCGGGGAGCCCGTCAGCGGGGAGGGACCGGGGGAGCCGCGCCGCCGCCCCCCACCCCGCACCGCCTGCCAGTGCCTCTACCTGCTTCATCCTTCGCCTCAGCCGCACCGGCCCCGCAGCCCCGTTGCCGGGCGCGGCAGTTGCCAGGGTCCGGGAGGTGTTTCAGGAAAAAGGGTCCGGGCTGCCGCCTGCCCGGGGCTGTCCGCGAAGGGGCCGGAGCTCCTCACCAGGGCCGCGCTCGGGGCTTGACTGCGCCTCGGAGCTGGGCTACCACAGTGGAAGTGGTGCCCGGCAGGCAGACCTGCCTCTTCCTTTGAGTCTTGCTGCTGAGGTGGCTCAAGCTGCCATCCTGCTCCCCAGCGCAGTTAGGCACTCGGCGGTTGCCTAGGCAGAGGCCAAGTGAACTTTGTGGGCCCTGATGCGAGTGTGAGGAGGCACAGCTCGAGGGGTAGCCAAAGGCTTTGGTTCAGGCTCCAAGATGTCTCCCTGCTGATGAGGGCTTTGTGCTCCCCAGGAGCACCAACCTCGATAGGGCTTGTGCTGAAGGTACTCCCCAAAAGGACAAAGCAGAGAGAAAGGTGAATGCACATATACACATATGATACATGCCTTATTTGAGGACTTCGGTCCGCTGTCCTGTCAGTGATGGGCCACACTTTATGTGCTTGTCCCTTGCCTCACAGTGGGCCCTGTGCCGCTGTTGGGCTTTTGAGGGGTAGTCCAGTATGGGCATAATACTGGGGATGTACTACTAATGTAACTTAGGTTGGGGTGTTTAGTTAAAGGTTTCTCCTGTGTTTATTTAAATAGCAGGTGGGTTATACAACAGAGTTAAGGAAGTAGGAATGTGAAATGAGACAACTGCTCTAGACAACTAGATCAGGTTGCCCAGAACCACATCCAGCCTTAACTTGAATGTCTCCAGGGATGGTGCATCCACCATCTCTCTGGGCAACCTGCGCCAGTGTTTTACCACTCTCTTTGTAAATAATTTCTTCCTCATGTTCAGCCTGTATCCCCCCTCTTCTAGTTTAAAACCACCATCCCTTATTCTATTGCCCTGCTAAAATGTATCTCCCCATCTTTCTTATAGGCCCCTTTTAAGAACTGAAAGGCTGCAAAAAGGTCTCCCTGGAGTCTTCTCCAGGCTGAAAAACCCCAACTCTCCCAGCTGTTCCTCACAGCAGAGGTGCTCCATCCCTCTAATCATTTGTGTGGCCTCCTTTGGACCCTCTCCAACAGCTCCATGTCTTTCCTGTACTGAAGACTCCAGAGCTGAACACAGTGCTCCAGGTTGGGTCTCACCAGAGCAGAGGGGCAGAATTACATCCCTTGACTTTCTGGCCATGCTCCTTTGGATGCAGCTGAAGATACAATTGGCCTTTTGGGTCTGCAAGCACACACTAGTGGGTCATCTCCAATCTTTCATCCACTAGTACCCCAAGTCCTTCTCTGGGGTACTCTCACTCCCTTCATTCCCTAGCCTGTAATAATCTTCTTGTCTTTTCTAAAACCTCTAACTAATCCAGAATCTATCTGTTGAGTAAGTACAGAAGTTACTAAGGTAAAATTGGAAAGCAGCTTTGTGCAAGACTCCTTACTAGAGCAAGACAATACCTAATGCATCAGAAAAACTGGTAGAGCTGTACTTAGTAGGATCTGTAACTGTAGGGGAGGAAAGGTGCATTTTATGACTAATAATGTTAATATTGTGCTAGTCATATTTTGGCCTTGGTAGTGTTAAAACAGTATCTCATAGTGTATCAGTAAGTGCAGCAGATTTGCACTACAAAACTGAATAAGCAATTTGATGGAATGGTCCACAGTAGCCTAGAACATTAAAATATTTAAGGAGGCTTTCACTCACAAAAAGGACTTAACCTCTATAAGTTATCATGAGATACAATTAGTAAATAATTATGTGCATACCTGAAGCTGACCTCTACTCCATTTACTGTATCAACATGCAGTTCTACTTATGAGCAGCATATTTACAGTAACTCAAATAGAACTGGCTTTCTGACTCATAAGCAGTTCCTGGAACTGCACTGACACAAGCATTAAGCTGTGGAGGGAGGTCTTGCATTTTCTTCACTGCCAGATTATAATCTCAGATGTTGCATCAGCCCTGTCCTGTCAGCACAGTTCTGCCAGCAAGTCTGATGGTTTGAATTTAATAATGTTGCTGTATTGTCTGAACTGTTGCATTGTTATTCTAAGGCACCAGAAAATAACTATGTGCCATGTCCTTTTTAGATAAAACAGTACTTGCTTCTGCAGGAGAGGTGACAATTAGCCTGATACAGAATTAGATATCTGAGTGCTTACTCTGGTGCTGCTAGCTGATTTCATTAGGGGTGGAATGATATAACTAAAAAGAGAAGCAGAACCTGTGTTTTGTTTTTTTAATTTTAAAACAGATAAACATTTCTTTAATTTTCCCTCCTTCCAGTGTTTGTCTTTACTGTTTCACTATAGGGATTATCTGTTTTCTTAAGAAACTCTTTTGGATAATCCCACAGAAGACTATCACTGTACCATGCAGATGGTTTCAGTAACATTCTCTAAAAAGCAATGTCAAACTCTTGTGTGATTATTCAAGATATTGTATGGGTTATCATTTTCTTTGAGCAAATTAGGAGCGAGAAAGAATGCTTGTTTGCTAGAGGAATTGTTGGCCAAACCAAGAATTTCTTCATTTTGGGATTATTGGAAAAGCATCTTTCCTTGTTCTAAAACAAATACATCCAAGTGTAACCTCATTAGAAGTTCCCAGTGTTTTCTAGGATTTTGCAGATCAAATTGTCCTATTTTCAACAGTTTTTCAGTATTATGATTTGACTACAAATTATTTGAAGACTGGAAAGATTAGGAACATCCTAAAGGTGATGCAAGTCCTCAATACCACTTCAACACATAAAATGTAAAGATAGTTACACTGAATTTGTGAATTGTGGTTTGGTTTTCAGGTTTGTACACAGGAAAACCTTGACCTTTAGGAAATACATTAAGATTTTATGTAATTGCTGACTGAAACATAGAGCATAAGATAGTTCAAAGCTGATTCACTTGGTGCAGTGTCCTTATTACTTTACAGGCAGTTCTCTGCCCTGAATAAATAATGGCCTTTCTATCAAGGAGTACTATCAATGACAAAGGCTTGATGTAAATAATGAGCTATGTCTCACACTTGGTTTCAACAATAAGTAGAACCTCCTCCAAGTCGAATATGGTGTTTCATCCGTGTGGTTAACATGAAGTCAGCTGATTTCTCTTTTTCTTTGGAGCGTTGCCCAGAATTACACCCTCTAGCAGTATCAAGCCCTGTAAGCTGCACAAGGACATTCTGAGTAGCTTGACAGTTCTTCCTCTGGGGAAGCAACTCAGTGTTTACAGTTTTCTGTTTTTCTGAATACTGGAAAAATACTGTTAATCCAAGAATAACTGTTACTGTGCATTAGATATATTTGCATGATTTGTTGGAGGTTCAGTAAAATGTTTGCATTTTGAAGAGATAGGCCAAATTAGAGAAGGTATTCAACAGATAACTTTCTTATAGTGTTGCCCTCTAATTAATTTGCAAAAGATTATTTTCTGCTTTGGCCCAGAGCTAATTTCTGTGGAACTTTTTGTCAGTGCATACCTTAGTTATCGTAATTGTCAGCTCTGTATTATCAGGAGAGAAGCTGCAGCATTTACTTGACAGAGCAGGATAATGTCTTTCAGTTGGATGGTATGTAGCAATATACTCTCAGTAGAGATCTAGTTCAAGAGGTTTGGGCTCTAAATATGAATTGAGAACTTTTATTAAATAAAAAAAAAAGGAAAAGAAAAAGAAAAGCTGTATTGGGCCTCCATTATGTTTAAAGAGATTAAAAATATTTTTTTATTACCTTGAGAGGGGTATAAATACCCATTATTGCACAGTAACTGATTTTAATTCTAAAAAGTACAGTAGTACCTGTATTCCTTTCAGACAGGAAAAAAAGAAAACAAGAAAAGATTACATGTTTTTATTAAATGGAATCCTCTGTATTCACTGTTTGTGTTTAGGCCTTATTTAACTGGTGCTGTAGAATTTCTAGTGTGGTTACCTGGGAGACAAAATGCTTTGCAATTATTACTGAGTTTACTTCAGTATCTTTTTCTGTTGAGGCTGTATAGTGGTCACTTAGAAACAACCAAAACAAAGGCAGACCAAAACAATGTTATCAGCTGTCTTCCAGCTTTGGGTACATTGCTTCCCAATCCTTGGATGTCGACTTCTTGATGTGTTTAGCTCTCTGTAAATATCTTGATACATTCAAAGCTTCAGCCCTTCTCAGCTGCAGTTCTTGTTACTTGTTTGTTCTGCAGATCATCTCTTATTGCTCAGTTTGGGAACTCCAGAAATAAGGAATTTGGATGCTGTCAAAAGTTTGTTTTAAGTGGCTCTGTAGATCCACTGCAGTAAAGGATCTAAGTAAGGAGAGGACCCCTTTCCTAGAGTGGCACCAGAGCCCACTCTAAAGTCCTAGAGTCTTCACCAGAAGAGGTGCTTGGGGCTCCTTCCTTCCTTTGCTGGATGAATTTAAAAGGCCTGTACATCCTCACACAAGTATCCAGTACCTTTCCTGACTTAAGCTGGTCTTCTATAGGCTTGCTAAGGGGAAGAAAAATAAAATAGAAGTAATGTAAACCTATTAAATAGAAGACCCTAAGGGTTATCAAGCAGTTGAGAAGCTTAGTACAACAGGAGGTTAATATGAAAAATTGAGTACTGTTGCTTCTACTGTTTTCTCTGCAAAAACAGAAGTTGAGGTGGCTTCTAAAAGCTGTAAGCTGCTTACTTACTAGCCCCCACCCCCTTGCTAGTAGTAATATCATCATAGTCGTGTTGAGATCCCTGAGATGCTTGCTGGGCAGTTCGTCAACTGTTGCTTTCATTGGCAATGTCTACTTCATATTTTGTTGTGAAGGATGTGGAGATTAATCAGCTTTTGCTATAGCTGCTTGCATGTGGTGTTCTTACATACTCTAAAATGGTGTCAGTGGGGTGGTAAAGGCAATAACCTGTACCTACAGTTCTTCATTCTTATGACCCACAGATT